CGCACTGTCTTTGATCGCTCCAAGCTCCTGGAATTGGCCTCCACAGGGGTGTATTTAGAATATGATTTTTTTGGTATTGAGGTGACTTATTATCAGAGCAATCATGCAACTGATATCATAAGTGATGCCCAGAGAATACAAAATATTAAATTCCTGGCTTCAGAAGGGTATGCAGATAAGGTTGTTATTGCTCACGATGTCCACACACGTCATCGACTTGTCAAGTACGGTGGCCATGGTTACTCTCACATACAAGTGAATGCTGTTCCAAAGATGCTTATGAGAGGAATTTCCCAGGAAGTCGTTGACAAGATTCAGATTTCAAATCCTAAAGCATGGCTGACATTCAAGTAAGAAGGCTTAGGCTTAAATCAACCCAATAGCCTAGCAATATACCCTAAAAGAAAATAACATTTGGATTTGTACTAGGACTATATAAGCAGTCATTATTCTTAGACGTTTTTGTAATGACTATGATTTGGACAAAATAAACCATTTACACAAGAAACAAATAGCTGGCTCAGCTAGGCAGGTCTCTAGTATATTCGATTGAGTGGTAGGGTCATCCTCCTAGCCTTTACTAATGGTCTATATAATGCATGGGTTGGCTACAATGCAGGCTATCATCCCCCTAAACAGGTCAACTTTAGTGTACATGAAAAATTAGAGCATGCATGAGTGCTGTAAAAAATTATAGAAAGTTAGTTTAATTGATGTCATAGTCATACAATAACAGCAAAGAACTAATAGATTATTGTTTTGCTAACTGGAGTGAAATCGAGGCATTTTTAAATAGTTTTTCCAAATTTGTAAAAAGCGGAATATTTTAGAACATATTTTTGTGTACTCTTTGATATACTTTCTCAGATTATAATGTGTCAACCAGAAAATGTCCATACTCCCCCCACAGAAGGGATAGAAAATTCCTGGGGGTGGGGGGGTTCTCAAAGGCCAAAAACGTTTAGGAAATGGGTGAAGCTTAATTGGAATTTTCCAGAGGGGTGGGGGGTCTTAGGATAAATCCCTTCCATGTGGGAGGTATGGATAATTTTTGGAACTAAACAATAAAAGAATAATCTACCCAAATGCAATTATATATTGGCTCCAGGTTTGTCTTCACTATTTAATTATTTTTGTACAAAATCAGGCTGACATAACCATTACATGTATCACAATAGCAACCTTTATTCAAAAAATAATGTACCGTTTCTTTTCTTAAGTCCAATAGATCTGGTTTCTGGAACACAGACAGTAATAAACACCCAGGTGAGGGAGGGGAAATACTCAGATTTTAAGTGATGGGGCAGGGATGATAGAATATTCTGGGATCTTTTTGGATAGGAAAACTTGGCAAGCATTTTTGGGGGCTTGATAAACAATCAATAATGAATATTTCTGATTTATTTTTCTTGTTAAATCAATTAATTGTTCTTTCTGAAAATTTTAAGGCCCGGAAATGCAGCATGGGATTTTTTGGGTTTTGTTGGAAGGCGTAGGGGTTTTTTGGGGGTCTTGATTTTTGCCTCCTTTCGATCATCCCGACTTGAAATCCGGAGTACCCTCCCCCTGGGAATGAACACTCCGTCTCTCTCCCAAATTACCGTAAAATTCCGAAAATAAGCCCCTCCATGTATAAGCCCCTCCAAATATACCCTCCCCCCCCCCCCAGGGGGGGCTTGTACTTGGAAATTGCCCTCAAATACAAAGTTAAACAAAGAGAAACGGTAAATTTACTTCCAACTATAAGGCTAGCCGAATCAATTTTAAAACGCAAATTTCCCTCCGTACATAAGCCCCTAGCCTGCAGTGCAGGCGTATTTTGGGTGGGCGAAAGCTTGTTAATCGGATCGCTACGATGAAGCCGCCATCTTTGATTCTATGACAGAGGAAGATTGGGGAGAGTAGTAATATTAACCCTGACGGTAGGTGTGAGGGCCATTTCCTCGACTCCATTTGACTCGCCCCATTTCCTCCTCTCTTCGGGAGTTTCAACATGGCGCTTTCGCGATTAAAACCATTCGCGCGCGCCCGATGAAAACGCCTGCACTGCAGGCTAATAAGCCCCTCAAAAAGGGCCTTTGAAAAATATAAGCCCCGGGCCTTATTTTCGGAATTTTCCTTATTTTCGGAATTTTACGGTATTTTCCTTTCCCTTCCCTCTCAAACGTAGCCTGAGAAAACAGACGAGATTTCACGACGCCAGCAACGGTTACCCCGTGAAATGACGTCTGAGAAAGGAGTGCAGAAATTCGTGCCACTTTGGAAATTTGCTTCAACCAATCAGAAGCACTATCCGGACCTGGGTAGGGACACCTCATCAGTATGGAATTTCTGGGCTCGTTTCTCAGACGTCATTCGGCGGGGAAACCGTCGGTGGCGGCGCGAAATGTCGGCTGTTTTCCTTACATGTCCTTAGGCTTCGAACGCCATCCAGAGGGGCTCTTCTCTCCCTCACCCCCGCTTACCCCCGCCCCCCTCCCCCCTCTCCCCATATCCACCAGCATTGGAAAACGAGAAGACCCTGGGGACGAGATTGGACTGGTACAAAGATAACGTAACCTTATTTTTTAACCTTGGTCTATAAAAAGGCTTTCTTTCTTGATTTTCCTTTTTATACAAGAAAGGATATCTAGGATGGCAGCTCCAGGTAGAAAGAGACGTAGGGGAAGTAAATATTCCGATGATCCGACAAGAGAAGTACTGGAAGTTATTGCAAATGGAGATGCTGTCGTACTAAACGAAGTTCTCCAGGAGATGAGCAGCATCGAACGAGCTTATGTGTTAAAAGCAACAAACGTTAATTCACGTTTTGTTGTTAGAGATGACACTGTCCTGCATTATGCAGTTCGCCTCAATCGCCGTTCCTGTGATGTTTTGAACTGTTTGATTGAAAATGGGGCGGATGTGAACGTACGGACAGAGTATAGCAAATGCACACCATTGATGATAGCCGCTCATTGTAAAAATCTGAATGCAGTAGAATTTCTTCTAAAACACGGAGCTATTGTTGATCTTCGAGACAAGCTTAACAAATCAAGTCTCCATTATGGAGTTGAAAGAGCATCACGCAGCAGTGATACTTCATTTGATGTTGTGAGTTGTTTGTTAAATCATGGAGCTGACATAAATGCCCCTATGAATGGCAAATACACTCTTTTAATGTCGGCAAGTAGCTTTCAACAAGTCGGGCTAGTTAACTTTTTACTTGAACAAGGGGCAAACGTTCTCCTGAAGGACAAAGATGGTAACACAGCTCTGCACTTTGCCTGTGGAATTTGGAATTCCGCATCTTGTGCATGTGATGTTTTGAATTGTTTAACTGAGAATGGGGCTGACATTAACGCTATTAGAAATGACAACTGTACCCCCCTTATGTTAGCTAGTAGTGGTGGTTATGTTGATCAAATAACATTTCTCATAAAGCATGGCGCTAATGTCCATCTTCAAGACAAAAATGGCGATACAGCGCTACACCATGCTGCTCGTAATATGAACAACTCGTTAGAAATTGTTTGTGCTTTGACTGCGGCCGGAGCATCTCAGATGTGTAACAATCAAGGACTAACCCCCCTTCTTGTAGCGAGCAGTATTGGCAATATTGCAGCAGTCGAGGAATTACTCAAGAACCAAGAGGTAACTAAAGAGCAAAGAATTGATGCTCTAGAACTTCTTGGTGCTACTATAGTTACTAGACCCAGTTGGGATGTTTATGACATTTTAAGTCAAGCATTTTCATGCCTAATGTGTGGCATGGAAGAAAGGTTTGCTGATCCTTTGCACCCATTGTTAAAACAACCAATGAAACCCATTGATGCTTATCAAAATAGACAAGAGAGTCAATCGCTTGAGGAACTTGTAGAAATAGGTGAATCTAGGAATGCTCTAACAATGGAAAGCCTTATTATTATAGAGCGAGTCCTTGGAGAAAACAATTCTGAACTGCTTAATCACATAAGAAGTGCTGCTCGATACTTTGAAAACAATGATCATTCTACTTGCATAGGACTTTACAAACATGCATTTAAAACAGCCCAGATCTGCAATCAGTCAGCTGTAGAAGATATATATAGTCTATCACAGAATTTTCTGAATATATGTTATGAAAATAAGTTATTGAGTGATCAACAAAACCAGGCATATGTAATTGAATTACTTGAGGCAATTATTTATGAGTATGAAAGAATCAGCAACTTGTCTAAAAGAAAGAAAAAAGGCAAGTTTTTTCAAGCAGATCTAGATACCTTGCTTATGTGTTCAATTGAGGCTGTTTCACTTATTTCCAGCAGTCATCATTTTGAAGTAGACAAGGCCTCAACTGTGTTAGTGTTAACAAGACGGCTTTGTGCCTTAAATCCTCGAGATCTTCAAGGATGTTCACTGTTACATGAGGCTATTAAAAGATGCCAGCAAAACTCACCTTTATTAGTGAAGAATCTTTTACATGGTGGACTTAATGTAAATGCCACAGATCACCAGGGAAACACTCCACTTCATGTTGCCGTCCTATTAAATCCTTGCCATGATATGATCCATCTTGTCACTAACCTGTGTGAGATCTTGTTAAATGGAGGTGCTCATCAAGATTTTGTCAACCATGATGGTAAAACAGCCATGGACTTGGCTAAAGCTGATGAGGTTCGAAGTTTCCTTCAGGAGAAAAGAAAACTGGAATTGAAGTGCATCAGTGCCAGGGCTGTGAAGAGGTTTGAACTTCCTTATTTGGGGGTGGTGCCCAAAATATTGGAAAAATTTATAAGTATGCATTAGAACTCATAAATAACTAAAATTCAACTGGATAATGAAAGGAAGTTGGAAGCATATGAGGGATAAACTGTTTGACTAAGAAAATAGTTAAACAAAAATTTTTTGGTTGCCGGTGATTTTTAGATAGAGAATCAAAATGTTTATTGCCTTTTTGTCTATTTAATTTTAGAGCAAAGAAAAGTGTTTTTAATTGACTGGCACATTACTACAGTTTAACTTTATGACCAGTCTTCCACTGTTACTTTTAAGTAACAACTTAAAAGTTGTAATATATTCAAAGACTGAAAAAAACCTTCAAGTCCCAAGAGTGACTAAAATCTATTTTCTCCTAACAATATCCATACATAATCAAAAGGTTAGGTTATGAGAATAAAGAAAATGATCAAACAGGAAAATATTTTGATCTTTCAACAAATTCTCTCAGACTGTCCAACCTTTTGAGGATGTAAACTCGGGATGTTTTTGAATCGCTTCAAAATCATTCTTGTTCCAAAGGTGTGAGTCACTAGGGATTTCTGGGGGCATTCTTCCCCAGAAAAAAAATGAAATCTTCATGCTCAGAAAATGCCATTACTAGCATTCTGACAGGACAATATTTTCTTTCTGTCTAAAATGTTGTTGCTGTAACAACTGTTTATCTTAGTTATATAGTATTCTGATGAAAAAAAGTTGAAGCTATTTAATTTCTCTTCTCTTCTGTTTCATGGCATATGACTAATCAAATGTATGTATGTTTATGATAAAATCACATGTTATTTATTCATCACATGCATAATAATATTTTTATCGTATTGAGTTCATTTATCAGTATCAATTTTAACTGTATCAATATAAAAAGGATTGGCGATGATTTATTATTTAAAAGGAACATGGTTTTCAAGTAGATAACTTTAACTGGCTTAAGTTGCTGTAGTTGTCAATTGCTTGCTAGCAATAAAGTTTTCTTTTTTAATTATAATCATCTCAGTACATTGCCACCTTCTCCTACTCCTTACCCCTCACTCTTAACTCCACCCCTCACCCCTGTTATAAAATGAAAGACAACTGACCTTGTGTACTTGTCTGATTAAGCACAATTTTTCAATGCTTTGGTGTGGCACTTATTTGATATTTTAAGAAAACAACAAACAGTTTGTGACACCACTACTGGTTTCCCTGCAAACTGATGCCTTGTGTAACTAGCACAGAAATTCCATACTGAAGATGCATCACCACCCAGATTAGGTGATGACATGTCGTCAGTATTAAATTTCTGGGCTCATTCTTCAGATGACTTTGTTATTTCGGAGGGAAAGCAGTAGCATCATGAAATAATGCGGGCTGTTTTCTCAGACAGGTGTAGAGCTTATTCCAGGCTGGCATTAAATATAACTATTACATTGACAAGTAGCCTCCGCTGTCCCCCACTGGTTATTGCTAAAGCAAGTAATTTAGTACCCTGTGAATAAAGTTGTCTCCCCTTGCTCCTTACCTCTCGCCCAGTCCCCCTTTATCTCAAGATCTAGATCCAGCACTGTATATGCAGGGAGCCTAGACTCACAACAGCTTACTCGAAGCCAAATTAAGTGAAAAGGATTCGATAAAACGGTTAAAATGCACATAGCCAATGCAAATAGTTATTTGAGTGTACATACCTCAAGGAGAAAAAAATTGCTAAATGACGTTCAAAAGGGCAGGAAACAACCAGGGCCGAGTTGCTCAAAGCATGGTTAGCTTTAACCATTGGTTAAGCAGTATCAAAACCAATACGTTGTTAAGGTATTAAACGCTGGTTGACGCTAACCATGCTTCGAGCAACTGTGCCCAGAACAGAAGACAGAGAATCTCTTTTAAAGATGAGGTCCGCTGTGACTCTGGGCTGCCTGTGATCCAGAGGGCGTGGAAGCCACAAACGAGAGAGAGTGGGTTCAAGTAACGATCAAAATGGCGTACGAAGAGCTGTGATTAGAGTGGAACTTTCTTTAAAAGCGATGGCCTTTTCACTTCGATATGTGGCGGATCAACTTTTTTCTGAAGTTAGATTTGCAAAGGAACAACATGGTCATCGTAAGTGTTGTTGGATTACGTCATTTTAACAAACTTATACCGTGGTCTCTTTGCTTCTCCGTTTTTAAGTACGCTTACTTATGAAGTTTTCTGGCTCTTCTCCTTCAGTGACAGATGAGCTACTATCTGCGTAAGTATTAGCCCTTATTTATGACTCAAGAAAGTGAATAGTCAGAGAGGTTTCGGGTGGTAATATCCGAGGCATAGCGAGGCATGCGAGGCAGCTGGGTTTTGCATTCAACATACACCAGTACTAGTATAGTACTAGTAGTAGTTGATGGACCGAGTGAAAGAAAAAAAAAACGTGCAGTTTTGTAAATTTAGTCTATAAAGTCCCCCTGATGCCATAGAGCCCCATTTATTTGTGATGCATGCTGTAATTGGGTGATTCCAGAAAATATCCATACCATACCACGGGCGGCATCTTGGAATTCCGAGGGAGAGGTTTCTTGGACTGGAATTCCGAAGACGTGGCGGGGGGGTAACGCAGTTTGGAATTTCAAAGGTATGGGGGGGTGTTTCAGCTCTGAATTTAGTGAATTTCCAGAGGAAAGACGGCGAAAGCTCCGCTTGAAATCGCTGACCTGTTAACATTCCCAGTTTGTAAATGAAGCACGAACTGACCACGGAAGAAGTATGCATTCATGCAGATGGGTAAGCAGATGGGTTGTGCAGCAAGCTCCACATCGAAGAGGCCTTAAAGTTGATGAATTAGTCAACTGATTAATAAAAATATAACCAAGTCGGTGTTTCTCGCCGATTGTCGATCAACGATGTGTTGTTGCGTGCTGAAAACTCGCACCAGTCTCTCATTTCCAAATAGAACGCCTGACAGATTTTGTATTTCACACCGATTTTCATGCCAACATGTAGGTAGTAAAATCCGACAGCGTGCCTTTTGATGCGCTGTTTAATTCAAAACTGTTTATGCGCAAGTGTTTTGATCATTCAGTTCTAAATAGTTATTTTTCCTCGAAATAACTATTTATTCCAGGAGCTGATATCCTTAAACGGACGTATATTTGCCAATAGAACTGGAAGAGTCAGGGAGAGGTTTACCTCAAAAAATTATAATAGTTACTTTTCGTTCATTTTTTTTATTATTTCCATCATACATTTTACACGATTAAATTATTTGTACATGCATGTTATGTGTAGCGTGACAAAAATATTTGCATAAACCTAAAAACAGTTGCTGATCAAATCTAAAACCGGTATTTAGGGGGAAAATGCAGTTCGGTCCTGATTTTTCCTGCGTTTCTATGATTTGCTTGATCGTCTGACTAAAAATTGTGAACAGAATTCTTTTGCAGAGGGAAAAAGTGCAAGTTTCTCGTTCGATTGAAGATTTAGGCAGATGAACAGGAATTCCAAAGGGTCTGAAACAAAAGTGGAAAATTCCGGAGGAGAGGGGGGGTTAGCGATTTTGGAATTCGGAGGGCAAGGGGAGGATAAGCATTTTGGAATTTCCGAGGGCAAGGGGGGGTTAAAATACTCATGCCACCTGTGGTAGGGTATGGATATTTTCTGGAATCACCCATTTCGTACTTTTCCACACCAATAGTTAGCCTGATATTGCAGTCAACATTTTGTGACTCTCATTTCTCAGATGCAGTTTTTGTGGTGGAACCAGTTGTTGTTAGCCTGAGATTGCAGCCAACATTTTGTGACACCACCACTGGTTTCTCGGCAAAATGACGTCTGTGGCACAAGTGCAGAAATTCCATACTGATGAATCATCACTCCCCACGTCTGAGTGGTGCTTCTGATTGGCTGAGAATTTGCTTCAGCCATTAAATCAGAAGCAACAGAAGCACTATCCAGATCTGGGTAGTGATACATCATCAGTATGGAATTTCTGCACTCATTTCTCAGGCATCATTTTGTGGGGAAACCAGTTGTGGAATCAGGAGATGTCGCTGTTTTCTTAGGGTAACAAATAGTTTATTTGAATAGAGTCAAAACTTCAATGCAAGTAAGCTGTGTAAGGAAATCTTGCCCTCTACTTTATTCATTATTATTCTAAACCATTTTTATTGAATTCTTTGTTAGGTTGCACTGTGTTTTCCATCAGCCATTGCTACATGCTTTAGACCTGGTAGATCAGAGGAACATCACCAGACTAACTACACCTAGTGGAAGAGTACTCCATCAGGTAGATACACTGTTGAGTAGCTTTCATTTGAAAAGAACGAGGAAGCTGCCTATGGCTAATAGAGGTGTAACGATTAATAATCCTTGTGATTCAATTTTGATTTAGATTATTGCATTCAAATTTCATTTATTTTGATTTGATTATGTAAATGTTTCCTAATTCTTATAACATACACTGTAATATGTTATGTAAACAACATGCAACCTTAAACCCTCAATTTGAGAGTGGTAACAGGGACAGGAGGATTCACGGTCACTTGGTTGTTTGCTGCCATGTTTGAGAACCTGACAAAGAAGGTGTCACATAGGGTTGCCTCATTTGGAAATTCTAAGGGTGGTTGAAGGATAGCATTATTACCAGGCAATACAATAATTATTTAAAGGGCATATGAACTGCAATTGTTTTTGCTTGTCAATCAAAATGCACATTTTAAAGTGTTCTGGATTCTGATTTTACAATATAATAACCCACTAAGGGCACCCTGGAAAAGGTATACAAAAAATGAACCAAAATCGAAACATGGAAGCAAAGAATCGTGAATCAAAGCGCAATTAATCAAGAATTTGATTACTCATTACACCACCAAATCTAATAGCTAGTGCTACACTAGGAAAGGGGGATCCTTATTTATAGCCAAAATGTGCAATGCTGTACCACTAAACTGGGAATGGTTTGAGAGTTTTGCATCTTAAAAAGGATATCAGGGCCTGGGAGAGGTACCGTATTAAATTTTATTCGATTAACCGCCCTGGGTGCTTATTAAATTTTTGGACCTTCAGAGTGGGCACTTATTCGAGGCTGGGTGCTTATTAAATTTTCGCCATTTTCAGCAAGTGTACATGTAGTATGTTTATTTTGCAACAAAACAATAAATGCTAATAACAAAACGAGAAGAAGTAACAAAGCAAGGTTTCTGTAAAATACTCTGAAGAAAACTCCATCCTCTGGGAAGTCTCTTATTAGTACTTATTCACTCAAGTGGGTGGGGTGGTGAGCACTTATTTGAGTTTGATTGGGAGAAGGAGGGGGTGGGATTGGGGGTGGGTGCTTATTAGCTGTTTCTGCCTTTAGGATGGGCGCTTATTTGAGATTGGGTGCTTATTCTAATAATAATGCAGTACTTGACCAAAATTTGGGTGTAGGTGAGCCGCTGAGGGTTTGAAACCCTGACCCTGTATAAAAAAAAAATCCTAAAATACATACTCTGTTTAGGACGAAAGACAAAATGCACACGTTCTTGTTTTAAAGCCATTTTTAGGCAATTGTAATAGAGCCAATTCATATTATAGTCATTGCTATTGTATACTTGGAGCACAAAAAAATGCATGTAGCAAAGCAAATCAATTAAGGCAATGCCCTGTTGTCTGTTGACAGACTCACAAGAAATTATATATTACCCTGTTATATTTAGGACACCTCATAGGAAAATTATATATAGCGTTTAGGACAGAGAGGTAAAAAACCATACCCTTTAGCAGCATATCCCCTTACAGGTCATACTTAACAATTATTCATCGAGCCCGAATGGGAGGAATAAATAATTGTTTTAGTAAAATCCGACTAGTTGGTCAAAAAGATCGAAACAAAACAACTTAAGCTACCCAAACGCGATTCAGACGCCTTTGTTTTGGTTTGCAAAGCGGGAGCTTTTTGCTACTAGTGGGCTATAACATACAGCCCAGTAGTAGCTCAACCAATCAGAACGCAGCATTGATAATGGAGACCACTAGCTGGATTTTACTAAAAGGGGTTAGTACTCCCCTTGACCCGGGTATCAAGGTTGTCACTAAGAGCGGAGGGATTTTCCCCTGGTTAACATGAGTATAACCCCAGGTTACTTTGAGAGGAAACAAAAGGAAAATAGAACACTATGACCTTCCTAGCTGTTACTTTTCCCACCTAATAATTGCATATACCCAGCAACTTGACGTCTTAGTGACATCCCTAGGGTATTTGACTTCACTACTTTTATTGTAGCTTGTTATATGGGGTATCTTGTACGGGGTGTAAACCTTTGTGGTGTTTGTAAAATGGAAAAACATATAAGCTCCAAATTAAAGAAACAAAGAAGATGGTCACCATCTTTGATTTTATCACTGAGAGAGATTGGTGGAGTTGAAACCACAACCCTTTGGGGTAGGCATAATTTAGAGCAAAAGAAGGAAACAGGGATGGGTAGGAGGGGAGAGAAAATGCCTCCTCATTGTTCATTTGGGAAAATCTTTACATGGTTGCAAAGTGAGTCAAGGGATAAGACCTATGTGATATTACCTGCCAGTCATAAATTGTAAGTTGATAGACCTTTTTGTTTATGATGTAGTGACAGGTGTACATGTACCTGTTATCTTATTGAAACTTAGTTGAGAGTATTACTCTGATTAAAATTTAAAACTTAGAAAGCCTTTTCACCTTGACGTCATTTGCAGAGTAAAATTTACTCATAGTTTTATTAATATTTTTGCCCTGTTTTAAGGTTACTGGAAGTTCCAACCAGGTATATAACTGCCTTATATCTGGTGATTTTTGTACATGTCCATCGTATACATTCACAGGTATGGGTCCTATGCAGTGAATTATCTCAGAAATACTTTGTCAATTTTGTATTGTCACTGTGCCCATTAACCAAACTTATGTTGACTTTATATAATAAAGTTACTCAACATTCTGGACTAGACAATTTATTTATTGTTAGTAAAAGTTGCATTTGGAAATGTGAATTATGAAGCGAAAGGAATGCCAGAGTACTTGGAGAAAAAATTCTTGAAGCAGGGGCAAGAACCAACTACTAACTGGAAAACCTATAACAATAAAAAAGGGCTTGATCATCATTTCTCCGAAGTACAGTCATGGAACCTCTATTCATGGGACACCCTCGGGACCAAGGCAAGTGTCCCCTGAATGGGGTTGTTCCCTGAATGGAGGTTGCGGCTGGGGTTTGTTAATATTTAACCAAAAAATAAAATATTTTTCTTTTATTCTGCCTTGGGCTCTGCTGCAGTCATCACTTTAAGGAGCTAAATTATGATTCAAAAATCATCTCTGCATTGTGTGTTGAATTCCCACAAAAACAGTACATCAATTTACATGAGATAGTTCATGTTTGAAAGGTGTCACCTTTGTGACTAGTGTACACTTAGACTTAGTCAGTCACTTTTCGAGTGCTAAGGTGTCCCTTGGATGGCTGTTAAACCCAGGTTTTGGTACCCAGAAAAAGTGTCCCTCTCCCCTGAATAGAAGTGACCCTTCAAAAGAGGTAATAAAGACAAAGATTATGTGATCATTAATTTTTGTGGAAGCAAATTTTTTTATCCCCTGAATGCAGGTGTCCCTAGAATAGTGGTGTCCCAAAGGAGAGGTTCCACTCTTTTATGCCAGCGACGTTGCAGTTATTATGGGCTTAGCTGCCTTTATCTTTTTACATGTAAACTGTTCTTTTTTTTTGCAAGGGATGGGTAAGCATTAGCAGGAAAGTCTTGGTCAAAGTTTGCACTGACTCAGTGCAATGTTGTTTCTTATAATTTTAATTTATATTATGTGCTTTTGTCTTTTTAAACAGTGTTGGTAAAGATGGAGTCACTTATGGTAAGCAGTTAGATAAAAAACTACTATTGTCCATCACCTCCTTTTGCATATAAGTGTGGAAATGTGACAAAGGTGGTCTTATCTTCATATGTTTGCAGTTTGCACCAATATATTCAGGGATATTTCTCACCCAGAAACAGCACACTTGCTTTTAAGAATTATTCTTAAATGGAGTGTTATAACCCAAGAACTCCTTATCAACATCTAAAAATTCTTGCAATGAATACTCTGTTAAGCAAACATAATTCAGTTGAAATGCTTCTAGCTTACAAGCGGTCTTTTGCTTTGCATGAAGTTAAACCACCAGCTATAGTAATAATTAGCCTTTTTTCCTCCTTGATGTTATTTTGATGAAATGATCATTCAATTCATACAATTTTGTTGAGTGCCCCCTGCTAGAGTTTTACTTAACATTCCTTGGTGAATCTCCCCTGAATTATACCAAATAAATGCCAAAGTATCAAATTTTTAATACCTCTGTGTTGTGAAATTTTTTTTGGCACATCTTAAGTGTCTTTATTTTTTTTTTCCAAAATCCACAGTGTAAGCATCTCCTTGCTGTTCACCTTGCGGAAGCTCTTAGAGAAAGCAAAAAACAAGATATCAGTGATGAAGACTTTGTGGCTTACATGTGTTATGACAGCAGTGCAGATGATAAAAACACCAAAGAACTGCATGTATAGTGCTGTTATAGGGCCTTCTGGGAGGTGGGAGGGGTTACTCCCTTATATACAAGTCATGTGGGTATGTGCCACCCTAAACACCCAAAGGGTATGGTTATTGCACCATTTCAGTCTTGAAATGGGTGTAGACTTTGCCTATTTTTGACTGGAATTGGGTATGGTTCAGTTCAAGGGAACTACTGAAGTGTATGAGCATATTTGTCACACGAATTCAAAATGGATATTAGAAAGCTTTTTGTCAGCGTTTTAATTCAAGTATTAATGTTGACACAATTTCTGATTATGTAAACATATATTTTGCATTTTGTAACCTCTTTTAGGTCTGAAAACGGGTATGGAAAATGACACTTTTGGTTTTAAATATAGGGTCAGGATTTGAAGCAGCCAGGCGGTACACCCCCACCAAAGAGTACTCCCTGGGCTGTTGTGTAGGAGCTGCTCCTAAGGTCACTCCTGATTGGTCGCAGGAAACAATGACATGTCATTCTTTTAATTGTTTCCGTGTTGTCTAGGGTCAGGGTTAGTCACTCTTACAAGTAGCTGCTACGTGACCCTCCCGGGCTAGTGCCTAAATAAAAATGTTCTTTATTTCCCTCTGTACTTAACTTGTTGAGATTTGTCTAACCCACTGAAGCAAACAGAACTTCAGTTCAAGATATTATCTTGTCCATAATTTCTGCTTTCAAGTAGAGAGCATGTTAGCGAGACTTTTCCAGGTGTTTGGATAGTGGAGATCTTACTCAGACTGTGGTGCGAATTCAGTGAGTGGGAAGAACCCCTTGCTGTGTTTCTCTTTGTGCTCTCCGAATCACCACATTCTAAACACCCCGAACAGACGAAGAACAGAACCAAAGGAGCTATGTTGCAAAATTTAACAAAATTCAAACAGTGGGAACTGCCAACAAACTGAGTGAAACTTACAAATCAACTGCACAAAAATGAAAAGAAGGTAAAATACCCATATAATGCAGCAAAGGAGGTATGGATGGACAAACTTGAAGGAGATTGGAATGGATTGAAATTGTGGTTTTTGAAAACTTTTTAACCTAACAGTTTTTCAAACTTCGTTTTTGTTGTTTGTAAAGTTTCGTACACTGATTTGGAGACATTTGTTTGACATGAAACAGTATTCTTTTGATATCATACACAAGTAATTTTGCAAGTTCCATAGCAGATAAGGACGCGTCATTGGGATTTAATTTGCCTAGTCCCTGTAAGGCGTCTTCCCAGGCCTTCTCGTTGCATTTCAGTGACGTATCCGAGACCTCGGACCATGTGATTCGAAACACATCGGCCGCACACAATAATGAGGCCTAGGGACTAGGCAAATTGGGATTATTGACAAAATGAACCAGACAACCGTGACACAGCCCCTTTGAAGTGTCAGTGTACGAGCTCTCTTCTTAACCCTTTGCTTCAGTGCTTTTAATTTATCCTTATGGAGCGTGGTCGTGACACAATTCATTCCTATCTGGATCAATATATAGAGGATATTACCTGGCTGTACGGAGATACAAAATTTATCTTTGAGTGTTGAAAAATATTTAGTGAGCGCAGCGAATGAGTGAAATATTTTTTCAACATGAGAAGACAAATTTCATATCTCCAAGAGGCCATGTATAGGCACAATTTATTTTTGCCATAGCAATGGTGATATTTCATGTGTGAAGATAACATGTTATTTTCACATGTGAAGACATCATGTTTTTGCGCAAAAGCTGGTCACCTGGTATTTCATTGGTGTTAATATAATATAAACTATTATCATCCTCTGTTTGCTGTCATGGCCTTTATTGAAATAGTATTTCAATAAAGGCCATTTGAAATAACAACTTTGAGTGGAATGGGGGAATTTCCAGTTCCCCTTAATTCCAAAGTTGATGAGAATTCTATGGAAGAAAATCATTAAAAAAGAAGTTATGTATGTATACGCCTTTTGAATAATATTATTGCTGTGTGATTGACTAATTTTAGGAAAGTTGGACTGTCCTTTCAGGTTCCCCCTCCCCACCTTTGCAAAAAGGCAGTGTATGCCCAATGTACTTTAGGCCCCATTTATATGGAGAAAACCTGTAGCTTTAAAGAAATATGGGCGCAAGAAAGGATGGGACGCATGAGGGGAGAGGTAGCTGTCTCACATGCACGCCCTTTCTTTAAAACTTAGAAAGCCTTTTCACCTTGACATCATTTGCAGAGTAAATAGTTTTATTAATATTTTTGCCCTGTTTTAAGGTTACTGGAAGTTCCAACCAGGTATATAATAGCCTGTGTAGCAAGCGGTTCCGCGCAAGTTTGTCGAGAAAACTGGAACGAGAGCAAAAAAAGGAATGAAGGGGGAGGGGGAGGGGAGTGAAGGAACCTCCCTTACCCCTCCCCCTTCCATTTTTTTTTACTCCCGCTCCAACTTTTGCGCTATAAAACGACTGGAAACGCTTGCTACGCAGGCTAGGTATATAACTTCCTTATATCTGGTGATTTTTGTACATGTCCATCGTATACATTCACAGGTATGGGTCCTATGCAGTGAATTATCTCAGAAATACTTTGTCAGTTTTGTATTGTCACTGTGCCCATTAACCAATAATATTACATTCAGGTGCTAGCCTCTGTAGCAGGCGTTGAAAGGGTTAGGCTATTCAGGTGCTTGTTATGCAGGCTACTGCACATGTAACATGTAAACACTGTAGCCTTGGGTTTGACAATTCCTCTCTTCCTTACCACTTTTGCGCCGCATTTGTATTGCATAGTGCATGGTTGCCACAGCCAGAGGTTTTTTAAATTCCCTGAATTTTCCCTGACTTTTTTCTGACAAATATAAAATTTCGCTGACCAATTTAATTAACAATTTCATAAATTAGGGCCTGTTTACATGGAGTGGGGGACCCCGGTCTAGTGGGGTAAGTTTCTTTTGTTTTGTGTCCCCAGAGCGTGAAAACAAAAGAAACTTACCCCACTAGACCGGGGTCCCCCACTCCATGTAAACAGGGTCTTAGTCCTGATAATGGACTCGACGCTCCCCTCACAGCCATCCCCCACTCATTTATTTATGCTTTAAGCAAGTCACGTGTAATATACATGAATTAATAGTTTCTTAATGTAATGATTTTCTTGAAAACCCAACATCAGCTTGTTGTTCAATTGAAATGAACAATATTCAATACAATATATATTCTACCAATACAACATTATTCATGTACGTAACAAAGCGCCCTGGGACGAGGTTGGAACTCGCGCGGAAACGCTTGCTACGCAGGCTACATCTTACCCTGCGAGCAGAGTCTCCTTCGATCTTCCTAGTAGGAAGATCGAAGGAGACTCTGCTCGAAGGGTAGCTACATCTTGGTGATTCACACGCGCCCCACCCCCATTCATCCATTTTGTAATACCAGAAGTCCCCCTGGAATGGAGCGACAACTGACCCCCATTATGCCATTAGCCTGGGTAGCAATCGTTTACGCGCGAGTTCGTTGAGAAAGTCAGGGGCAACCAACGAGAATGTAGTTCAGAACCACTTAAACATAGCATTGTTAAACGTATTTTAGTATTTAAACGGTAGATATAGGCGTATTTTTATCCCCTAAAAATTTTTCATCTGTTCGGAAATAGTGCTCCGAAAATTATAGGGATCAAAACTTACCTTTTCGAAAATTTCAGCCAGAAAAAAGGCTCCCGAAAATTCTAGGTGACCTTTTAAGGGTAAAAATCTGTTGAAAATGGGCAATTATACCATTTTTTAGATGCTCGAAAATCCTAGGAGAAGCAGGCAAGCAAGAAATTTTACAACAAATGTTCCGAAAATTCTAGATCTCAAATCGTCTTCCGAACAGATATTTTCCGAAAATTGTCGTTGGGTGCACCTGGAAAGTTGGGACGAGAGCAAAAAAAACTATAACTATAACTCGACTGGAAACGCTTGCTACGCAGGCTAGACCCGGGAGGCTAGACCCCTATCGGTTTCCGTACCCACAGACCAGTCGATGATCTGTCAACAGCTGTAAAATTGACCAATTGGTTACTCCGTTTCTGGGCTGACGGAGGGTTTGTTTTCTACAAAAGAGTCCGAACTCCGTCTTTTCTCGTCTTGTCCCATCCCTTATTGTAACATGATGTCGTGGTTTGCAATCGCGCTGGCTGAGATAAGAACTTGACGGATTTTAAGAGAAAAGGCGGACTGAATAACGACCGAGCTTTTTTTAATCAGCCCCACATAGCCGCGATGAGGTATCGCGGGTGACATCATCAGGATGGTCTGGATGGTTTCCCTCTGGCGTTAGCTCGTGCTGGTAGTATCCTGTCCTTTGCCCAGTGACTTGAGCATTTACACCTACAGCTAATCATTGTTGTTGGTCTTGTTGCATGTTTTGTTCAGATGTCAGATCAGATGTTGTGTTATGTGGACTTTAGACATTCGCAACTCCCACCAATCCAACAATAGCAGTTTTATTTGGATGGCTTTTACATCGGAGAATAAAGAAACGTTGCCGTGGAAGCGCTGCGGAAAAGTGATTTTCAGAAACACAAGTCAAATTAATTACCGTCAGAGGTCAAGAGTACAATGCAAATCCCCCAGAGGGGCACTCCCCTGTAAAAGGGTGACGGGGGTGCTCGTCATAAAATTTCGAGAACACCCCTAAGGTACCAGAATCTTGTTTTATGGGTGTGTCCCAAATTCATTTCCACCCCTGAGAGGTACCAATTCTACAACAACAAATTCTGGCACCGCAAATTTAATAGTAATAAAGATAACTTTCTAACACTTTCTTCTGAAGGACTTTTTGAAAGTATTTTCATAAATCTTTATCCTAATAAAGCATATCAACTCTGGCAGCAGGCAGTTTAGGTTTTAGCACCCTAAGCTAAAGCTATTAAAACCCCTAAAAGGTACGGTGAGCCCCCTTGTCACTTTTATAGGGGAGTACCCCTCCGGGGCAAAAACCAAGGTCTGCAAGGTCACCCAGCAGTTTCCCTTTTGTATTTATAGCTAAGAGACACGTTTTGTCCTCTTTATTCATGTACCAGTAGTAATCATTGATAAAAGATGGTGTTGTTCTGTTCTCCTCATGGTTCCACTCAAGTTGTGTGCTATCTTTGATGGAACCCCTCTCACAGATAGAAGTGAGTGATATTTTTAAGCCTAGTTACGGTTCAATATGCACAATTTGTAAAATTAAAAAACCCGATTCATTGCACTTCTAGTTAAAGGACCTTCTTTTTTTAGTCCCATGGGTACCTTGTTCTAATACTGATTATTTCGGTTTGAAACTTTTGGATCGTTACAGCGTTAGAAATTATGTAAAACTCCGGACAAAAAAAAAACAAAAAACGTGAGCTCAGGAATATGGGTTTTAAATCGTAATAACTGTAAACAAGAGAGGATAAAATACCTTTTTTCTCTGTTGGTGTCACTGAATGAAATATATTAACATAGAAATGATATGCAATGGAAAACTGTAATTTACAAGGACAGAATACCAGAACCATAAATCCAAGTAAACCACTTAACACGGTGCGCGACATAAAACGAACTCGACGAGAAGTGAAGGAAGTAACATGAACAGATTTATTGAACCAGAGATCAATGTTCCTAGTACAGAGGTCACAACTTGATACAGAAGAATCGACGGGGTCGATTGACAAGACAAAAGGTCCTTAAGTTGTGAAATCGGTACAAGTCGTACAAAGTCGGTTCGAACTGAAAACGATAAAATCGAACGAAAACTTAGCTAAGAATACATAGAGTGCAAATATATCTGACTAAAAACCGATGATACCAAATAGCGAACGAGAACTAAATAACACTAGAAAATACATTAAATCAGCCTATAAAGTTATTAAAGTAATACGGCGATAAAACTGCTGGTATCAATCACTCAGCATACTCATGTTGAAGAGTAGCGCATAAGACCCTTAAAACCACTGTAGCTCAGTGATGACAAGACTAAATAGATTCCTCACATAAACAGTAAAAATTACAACAACGATGTTGCAAGTCGATAACCAAAACTAAGCTCTATTATTCCTATAATGACATCGATGCTGAAAAAACTAAAAGAAAAGGAAAACTATACTCACTTTGGTTGACACACACACCGGTGTTATCTTGAATCAAAAGCTAAGCTGAACTTGATAGTTGATGAGCACGAGTGTAGATAGATTTGAAGCCCCAATGGCTGACAGAAGTTAACACCATAAAGTCTACACTAGAACTGAACTAACTAAGATGAAAACGCTAAATTTGTAATAAAGAAAACGTGCTTGAAAACGATCTAGAAATTATTACGTATTTCCCAGGCGGACATAACAAAAAAGGGCTGGGAAAGTAGCCGTGGGCTTATCAATAAAAATCATCATTTATGTAGGCGATAATCGATTTACAATAACTACCGTAAGCACGTTCATGCACCAATAAGGGATAACGAAAAGAAATCACGTTTCAAAACCAACAAAAACTTACTGGTATAAAAGTTAAACTGTACTTTAGGTTGCATTTTTGAGTTGACAATGACACGCATTTTCGCTTCTTTTCTGATCAGTGGAAGGCACCTCTACAACCTTGTTCCCAGGGTTCTCTCCTAGCCGTCCCTGTGGAGCGAGAGAGAACTGGGAACAAGGTTGGGTGCCTCTATTGTTGCAAAAGAAAGAAGTTTTCTGTTTACGTTAGATTAATATTTAGCCTGCAAAATGGGGGGTACCCGAGGGGTAAAGTGATATGTGCCACTGACCGGGGTGTTTTCAGAGTCTTTGTGCAAATTAGCGTCAACGGTACTCTG